GAAACAGTTTCTGATCCTTACGATTCACATCTTAGATGACCTACGATTCTCCCATGCCGCCAGGTTAAACTTCCCCCAATTCCTTAACCTTAGTAGTATCTGCCTGCTCAATTAGCTCGATTTATTTAAGCTTTAGAGGTCATTCCAATTCATATTCCGAAGCTACATCGTAGGTATATACTTGAGCGTCTTCGTCACTATGTAAATGCTTGTACAGTCTCTTATTTATTAACATGATAATTGCAATTTGGTGCAACTCCCCCGTGGAGCCAATTAGACAGCAGGCATATGGATGTTGATTTGGGTTGGGTTGGTTGGCAACATCAATGCTTCGACGTGGAGCAGTCGTTTCACGTTCATCCTTGGAATTAAGACACTTGAAATGCTTCGTCTGCTGCCATTGGATCTCTTGAATTAGTAAACAGCAGCAATCGAGCACATAGATTGGGATCTAATTGTTCGAGTACCGCAGCACGTGGATGCGCTGGTCACCGCCTTCGATGGTATATATTTTATATATTTGAATGGTTATATTTTACCACGTAATCCCCAAGTATAAAGTGCACCTCCTTTTTGTATTCACTCCCTAAATTAAACCTTTCAAAAATATTATATATCTCTCTTATATTAATAATAAATACATGTGTATATATCTTTAAACTTAAGACGTCATAACCACGATTAGTAATATATGATATCGAGATATTTAGAGTCAACATACCATATTTTTCAGGACTAATTATAGATTATCTCACGTAGTTAGTTACCTTTAATATCTCGGTACTTATACTTTAAAAAGTTACATTGACATATTTATAGTTACAAAAATAAAACATCTATGTTTACCATAATAATGTTAGTTTTATCGATGAAAACATGAAAATAAAGAGTAAAAAGATAAATTTAACATTTGATTATGGATGACGATATTGTTGGTGTCGACATCAATGCAGTTGCCTGGTCATTTCTGACAATAATAAGGTCTGCTCTAATAGTGATGCCACTCGCCTCCATGAGGAGCACGTTGTCGACCCGCATTGCTTTGCCTCTGCGTCGATGTCAATACAGATGGCGGTGGCTATAGTAACATCTACGGCACAGTGTGGTGGTCACATCACCACTAACTCATTGGGTGGATCCTAGCCTTGACTGAAAAATGAGGTCGTCGGAGCTTCTATCGCTCCCTCGTGTTGCCATGTCAATTCCAACACCACATCTAGCCGAGCAACCCTTTCGTTGCTCAACAACTATATCAAAGCTGACGTAGATGTAAAGCAGCGAAAGGGCTGTTCAATGAGAGGTGGTGTCGGAATTGACTTGACAATAGGGGGAGTGGCAAGAGCTTCGACGACCCCAGCTTCGGGTTGAAGCTAGGATTCGCCCAACGGGGGCTAGCGACGAAGCAGTCACCATCTTTGTCATAGACACTGTTGCAGCCACTACCATCAACATCAATGCCGATGTAGTATCGACGCAAACGCAAAGCGACTCACGACGGGCAACGATGCAGTCGGCGATATGCTTCTCGTGGAGGCGAGTAGCATAGCAATGAGAGCGGATCTTATCATCGTCAAAGGCGACCAGGTGACTGTATCAACGTCGATGCCAACGACATCATCGTATACTATCGAATATTAAAATTATTTTTTTTTATTTTTTATTTTCATATTTTTATTAGTAAAACCGACATCTGTTAAATGAATCTGAATATTTTATTTTTATAATTATAGGAATTGAGACGTTAAAGATGGTCACCAATGGGTTTCGCTCCATTCAAATCCGTCTCTGTTGGTCAATCTTGGGAAGGCTGAAATCTGTCCCTCTTTTTTCTCCTCCACTGGCTCAGTTCTATTTATAGTTTTTTTTATTTGTTTCCATATATAAATATGTAAGAGAAAGAAAGGTAGATCTCCCCATACTCAATAGGCTGGCTTTTTGACTCTGCCATTGACAGATAAGAAGACGCAGAGGGTGAAGGCAGTATCAAGGCCTTATCCTCCTCTCCCAAACCAGTAGAGAGAGAGAGAGAGAGAGAGAGAGAAGAATGGGTTGGGGAGGAGGCGCGGAGGACAGCGGGGAAGGGGTAATGGCGACGGATTTCTTCTGGTCGTACACGGACGAGCCGCACGCCTCGCGCCGGAAGGAGATCCTCGCACGGTACCCTCAGATCAGGGAGCTCTTCGGCCCCGACCCGTGGGCGTTCCTCAAGGTGAGTAGACGGTCGCCTCGCATTCCTCCTCTCTCGTGGCATGCATTTGTTGCGTCTTGCTTGATCTTGCCTTTTTGTCCACAAAGATCGGATTTTGAATCCCTTCGTTTTCTCGTTGCGTTCTTCCGCATTTTTTGGGATCGGATTCTCTGTCGACTATGTGGCGTTTGTCGCTTGCCCTCGCATTTCTGCTCCAAATGTTTTCTTTTGTTAATACCATCTGATGCAATATTTTGCAGATAACTGCAGCTGTTGTGCTTCAGCTATGGACTGCAACCTATCTTCATGACGCGAGCTGGCTGAGGATCCTAACAGTCGCATACTTCTTTGGCTCCTTCCTCAACCACAACCTCTTTCTCGCCATCCACGAGCTCAGCCACAACCTCGCCTTCTCATCCCCGTCCTACAACCGATGGTTGGGGATCTTCGCCAACCTCCCAATCGGTGTCCCCATGTCGATCACATTCCAAAAGTACCACCTGGAGCACCACCGGTACCAAGGCGTCGACGGCATCGACATGGACATTCCTAGCCATGTCGAGGCTCTGGCCGTCACCAACGCCGTAACCAAGTCCATTTGGGTCCTCTTCCAGCTGTTCTTCTACGCCCTGCGACCCGTCTTTCTCAAGCCCAAACCCCCTGGCTTATGGGAATTCACCAATCTGATGATCCAGCTCGCGCTTGATGTCTCTCTGGTGCATTTCTGGGGGTGGAAATCGTTCGCCTATCTGATACTCGCAACATTTGTTGGAGGGGGTATGCACCCAATGGCAGGCCATTTCATCTCTGAGCACTATGTGTTTAGGCCAGAGCAGGAGACTTACTCCTACTACGGTCCCTTAAATATGATGACATGGAGCGTGGGATATCACAATGAGCACCATGATTTCCCGAGAATCCCCGGTAGCAGGCTCTACAAGGTGAAAGCGATTGCGCCGGAGTACTACGAGAGCTTGAAGTCATACAGGTCTTGGAGTCAGGTGATCTATATGTACATGATGGACTGCACGGTTGGACCCTTCAGCCGGATGAAGAGAAGGGCATCAAAGGATGCTGCAACCACCAAGAAAGAAGAGTAGGGATGCTTTCCACGACAACCACTGTTGCTTGATTCATTGCTTCTCTGTGGTGTTCCCTACCACCTGCTGTCTCTCCGAGTTTTTGGATGCACGATTGGGTCCTTCAGATGGAAGGAACATGTTTTACTCCATTTATCCGACCTGTTATGAATAGATCAACGGGATGGAACTTTTCCACCTCTTAGCTGTTTCATCATTGTAGCAAGCATGTCGCCATGCATTCCTGTGGTGGATAACTGTTTACAACATTTTGCTGGACCGACTTCATCTTTCTCCACATGATGACTTGCTGCTAGAGTAAGGATATGCTCCGACACTACTTGAGCTTTGCTATTTCCTAAGGCTAACTACATATTTTACCCATGTAATTAGAACTTTTTTTTATCTCTATATTTAAAAATTAATCTTAAAATTTTTATAATCATGAAAGTGAAATATTTAACTCATTTTATTCTGACGTCATCGATTTTACCGAAGAAATACAGCACGTGCAAAAATGACATAAAACGATGGCAAAAAAATAATTTAAACGTTCTAGTTACGTTTTTTTTGTGGTGACGAACGATAATGCCGCTGAAGGCCATGGGTGGTTGTGGTCAATGATAACATTAGTGACTTATGCGGCTTCTTATGGGAGGAGGAGGGGGAGGACGAGAAGGGAAAGCAATGACGAAAGGTGAGGCAAAATGAAAGGAGGAAGAGGATGTTGCATATGCCGACGCCCTGCATCTACGTCGACGCAGATACAAGGTGTAAAGCGACGTTCGACATTTGCATCAACGTCGCTTTGCATCTTTGCTAATGCCGATAACGTTATGCATCGCTCGTTCCTTCTTCTCCCCCTTGTGCATGTCGAGCAACAAAAAGGGGAAGAAGGATAAGCACCGCCTTTCCTACATCGTTGTCGATGTTGACATTTGCATAATCCTCTTTCTCGTTTCCCTTTGCCTCACTTCTCGCTATCGCTCTCCCTCCTCATCCTCCTCTTCTCATAAGAAATCACAGAAGTTCCCAACGTTCTCGTCGACCATAGCCACCTGCGACACCGTTGTCCACCACTATCGAAAACGTAATTGTGATATTAAAATTACCTTTTTGTCTATCATTTTCGTGTCATTTCTTTTTCATTGATAAAATCACCTACATCATCGTTGTCCACCACTATCGAAAATATAATTGGGATATTAAAATTACGTTTTTATCTATCATTTTCGTGTCATTTCTTTTTCGTTGATAAAAACGACAACTTTATAACTATAGATATTCTAATTTAATTTTTTTTAACTTTAAGGATCAAGAAACTAAATAAATCTAACGACAGATAATAATCTATAATTAACCCCATAATCTATAATTAACCCCTATTTTCTATGACCAATTCTCATTATATGAAATGGACCACTAAACTTGTTCAGAAATACTTCTCCTTCCACTAAGACCTTCCACTGAGAAAGGGATGGAATAATGAGAGGAGTATTGTCAAACCAAACCGAGGATCCTCCATTATAACCCAAGTATGTGGCTCATTTCTTGAGAGAAATATTGTCAAACCAAAGGTCGTCTTCTCATATAACCCACATATGTGGCCATTCCGCGACAAAGAGGAAAAAAAACACCCTTACATGTTAGAGACCATCAGATTGAAGTCAAACCAAATTGGTATCAACAAGCCGTAACACCAAGAAGTTAATTAATAAACCAAAACGTTACCGTGAAAAATTCAAGTGATCTTTGAAACTTAATATATAATTTGCAAGCAATTAAGATAACATGAAATCTCATACAAACGTGATAGGACAAGCACCTTGCCCATATTTTTGCACAGGACAAGCAAACTCAAAATACATCAAAACCGTCTATTGATCACTCAGATAAAATTTTAAAGATATCCTACCAAAGAACAGATGAGTATTCAGAGCAGCTTGCATCCAAGCAGATTAGATTTTCTACATAGCAACATCAGGATCCAATCTTTTCTGGATAGCAGCTGCAGCCTACAGAAATAGGAACAATACTAGTTGTACTTTTACCAAGATGTTCAAATGTTTAAGGGTTGCATTCTAAAGTAAAAAAAGAATCACCTCAAAGTTTCCCAACTTATACTGATACATCATTTCTTCCCTTAAACGAGACTGCTCCTTCATTGCTTGAGCCTAAATAATCAAATAGACAGATTACCAGAAGTTTCACAATATTGCTGGAGAAGGCACCTTCTTCCATTTTAAAGACAATAGTTTACAGGCTGATATAAAGAACTAAATGCACTAACATTTTGATTTGCTGCAGGAGTGCTACACTTATTTTTGCTTAGATAGTATCACTTAAATATAAAAAAAGAGATTGTTTAATGACCTGTGTAGAACAAAAAATTTGAAGAGAAAAAAAAAAAAAATAGCTTGTTTCATTTACCCGTATAGCACTAGAAATTTGACGATAGTTATTGCCAGGTATAGGTCAATGGATTTATTGGCACGGAACAAGATGAAAGTTTAGTATTAGTATCAGGTAACAACTTTTATTAGGTATTCACCAAGAACTAGATAGACACTTAATTTGTGGTCCCACGTGTCAAATGATGACCAACATTACAAGATATTCCGCTTTATGTCTATATAGCAGAATAAATCTGAACATATGTCAAGCAAGAGAGATCACTCGCAGAGCCTAAATACAAAAAGTATCCTGTCACAGGAGGTAAGGTCTTTTCTTCATGAAGATTTCAGATTATATCGAGCCATCCATCATCAATAAAAAATCTAGTTGATCAGTTGGCTTTGATGTAAATATTGGGGGAAATAAAGATGTGGACCTTGTCCGATCCAATCTTCATGAGCACATGATTAATTGTAATTCAGGCAATAATATTAATCAAAACCATTCTTTAGCATGCCAAACTGAAAAGAATTTAAATACTCGTGTGATGGCTTGCGCTGGTATAGCAACAAGATCACACTTAGATATTAAAGGACCAAAATACCAATAAAAAATTGTAAAATATTCTCACCATGCCACTTTGCATTGAGCGCTTCAAAGCCTCTACTTGTTCTTCTTTTTGTCTTTCACGCTCCCTCAGCAATTCAATTCTGCATCAGCAACAATATTCTGGTTCAGTACAAGTTCAACTATCAAGCCTTTTTAACACAGTTATAAGACCATTACACATGAGAATCCTTTAAATGGATCAAATGAACTTGGAAATCATTAGGGTGAACATCAGGAGACCTGTGCTGTTAAGTGAGGACATTAAAATACTTGAAAAAGATACAGACCACTAAAGTGATGTGTTCTCTGTCATTTATAGATATTGCTTGGAATCCTAATACATCATGTAGGAAAACAGATAAAAAATGAACATTGACCATTGGTCCATAACAAGGTACATTGTCAACAAGGGAACATCTAATAAAACCTCCATAAATTGATTCCTCAATATACACTATAGCAAATTCAAATCCATTGGTTCCTCGATACATGTGCACACTAAATGTGAAAGCCATTCATTTGCATATTTCACATGAAACTCATCATTTCCATTATTGCCTGATGAATGATCAGTTTTTCTAAAGATCATGATTAATGTAGTTGAGAAAATGTATCAACAATCAACATGGGTGATTGATAAAAAAAGTGTATCACCAATCATCATGGATGGCAACCTAATGACTTCAGATTAAGGAAATAATTCTGCGTTAGCTGGGTTTCTAATTAATATGAAACAAATGAATTAATGAACCAAGGTTAAACTTGAGACACAAGTTAAAATCCACAAGGTTACCATTTCGATAGGAAAATAACACCAAATACATACCTACGCTGTTCTTCATCATCAAAAACTGTACGTTCCATCTCTTGGAATTTCTTTGAGCCTTTTTTCATCGCTTTTTCTATCTTACGTCGATGATAGGCATCTAAATCATAGTATCTGCAAAGTAAATTAACAAATGACTACAGATGCTGGGAGCATACATATAAACAAATTTTAAATATATCAAATACTAGATATTGCCAATAAAGCTAAACTTATTTGCATCATTTAAATAAATATACTTGTACAAGCTTAATCCTGTTGAAAAGACTTACAAATAATAGTAAACATAACTCTCAGGCTATTGACTAGTATAAATGTAAAAGCATGTCCTTTGAGAAAATGCTACGTTAAATGTTATAGCTAACATGAGAGAGCAACATTTGTGAATTTTACTTTGGAAAACCTGATTAGTGGCAGCCATGGGCATGTAATTTCACATGAAAAGCTAGAGGGTTCTGACTTCTTTTACATTCTCAAGACGATGTGACGTACAGTCTTATAATCATGGTGTACAGAATTATAAGATAAAAAAACAATCAAAGTTTACACTTTCCATCCTATGCCTACCAAATCTAATAATAGTTTGGCTAGGATAAAATGTCTAGCTCAGAAAATGTATGCCACAGATTAAATTCAATGAATTTCAAAAAGATCATTAGGCAGGGTTAAGAATCAAGCACAGGATGGTAATTTATTTGTTAGAAACGATGAATGTGAAAACACTGCAATAAAAACCCCAACAAAAGCTCCTGTAAACACCAGATAATTTAACCCAAAGCATGCCTCCGGAATACGACCTTCAACTTATCTAAAAATTTACCTTTTCCCTCTTGCTAAACCATCTTTCAGATATATATTCATAAACAAATATACAATATATGACAAGACGAAAACCATAAACACAAAAGTCAAACAATCAAGTATGTTCCCAGAAGAGATGCTAACACAATAAAATCAAAGAAATTAAGACCACTTATGCAGTTCATTTTGAAAAAACAGCACACAAATCTTTACAGTCTGCAAAAAAATAAAAGATAATGTGTGCATTTGACGGTTATCAGCCTCATGGCAAATTAATAGATTGCTAGAGCATTTTCATTTATAAAAGCATTAAATTAGAAGCTTAATCGAGAACCTTACTTCTTGGATGGAAATGTAGCCGTATTATGGTCCTCCATAAACCTGTGTGGAGATAGAAGATCAATATCAGACACGGCAATGATAGTTGAAATATACTTGAAAACCCAAAGATACGGCTCTTACAAAACAATCATGGACAATTAGACAATTGCGAATGATAGAATCAATAGAAATGATTTGTGTTACTTACTCTTTGAACATTTGTTTCTCTTCCCAATTTGACAATGCTTCCAGATTCACCTATAGTTCATACTCATAGACGTCAGAAGTAGTTTGATGACCTCTGTTTTTCCAAGTTCCATATAATAGACTTAAAAAAAAAGATTTCCCCAGAATTTGGTACTTAAAACATTCTCTAAAGTAGGATAGCCAAAATAAACAAGCAAAAGATATAGCTTTTTCACTAATTGCTTCAGTTAAACTATCAATCTAATTCTGATCGACAGAGTGTGCGAACAAAGAGATTGAAAAGTTGAAGAGATTGGAAGACATCAGTTGCAAGTTTCTTTAAATGACTTTAACCATCCTGAATAATCATAGCTTCCTCATACAATTAACACACTAAGAACAAAACCTCAACAAAACTGAACTATTAATTAAATCAATAAACAAGCTCCAAATCTGGTTTAGGAGCAAAATAGCACACAATAACAAATTTTTCTGGACACATTGGAGCAAAATTCTCGATGGCCATCCAAGAAAGGTCCCATACACCATATTCTAAAGAGAGGAAATCTTTAAATAACACTTCTTGGTTGTGAAAAGGGCATTGGCTATTAAAAAAATCATCAAAGGAATCGAAAAAGGATTTCTTGACAGAAAAAAAGAAGTATTATCTCATAATGTAAATCAAACTAAAAGTAGCTCCATTCTTGGTTGCATGAATATTTAACGTAGTCTGTATAAGATGGTGATACCTATCCTTAATGTGAAGGAAGTTATCTTAAAACCCTAATGTTGTCTTTTTCAGATCTGTTTAATGACAAAATATATATCATCAAAATCAAATCTCAAAATTACTATTGGAATGTACATCTAGGAAACCTAACCTGTGTGATCATATTTAGTAAGTCGCAGGGAAAAGGATTCTCCAGTTTCAAATAAAAAATGCTAAAATAGTTTAAACATATGATAACAAAGACCCAATTTTCTCATTCAATGAATATTAGAAAAGGTCCTTAGTATGGTTCTATGAAATTCTGATCTGAACTATAAAGCCAAAGAACTACAGATTTGCACCTGAATTGGTTTCTTGCAAGAATGAATACCTGTTTCACTTCTGATAGCCAAGCAGTAAACTCAGGTCGTTTATTCCTGAAAGGATTGGAAGAAAAAGCATTACTTGACGAATGATGATTGATGAGTGGATTTTGCATCTAAAGTAGTGATTGTTTTCGCAATATGCAGCTCACCCTTTTGCCCACCAAAAATCAAAGTTTCTATTGTAGTCCTAAATCTTTTATGCCTTCTACCACATCACATACCACACAATCATATGAAGTACTAACGTCTACTTAATGATACAATTGTATGTGGCAAGAGAAACAACAGAGACATAAAATAAATCTAAGCATGTACAGTCCTAGTGAGCTTCTGGATAGTAGAATATCTCGTATGACACTCACGGAATGCACAATGGAAACGTTTTCCAATGTAACAAACCAGTTGCCATCGAATTGTGAAAACGTAGACCCACGGGAGAATAAGGAACGACAAAAAGGAAGGCATGACTCTTGATCACAAAAACACTCACCACATGTCGATTTCTCTGATAATGCCATACTTCCCCCACGAATTGGTGACTGCCCCTTTCTTCGCCTCTTCTTTCTCCTTCTTCTTTTCCTTGCGCTTCTTCCTCCTCCTCTTCGCCTCCTTCTCTTCCTCCCTCCTCTTTCTCTCCTTCTCCCGCTCCTTCCTTCTCCTCCGCTCCTTCTCAGACTCCCTCTCTCGCCGCCGCTTCTCCTTCCTTCTCCTCTTCCTTGCCTCGCCGTCGCTCTCCTCCGACTCGGACTCGCTGCCGGACTCGTCCGTCTCGGACTCCGTGTACGAATCGGAAGAAGTCGAATCATCAGACTCGCTCCCCGAGGCACGGCCTCTCCTTCTATGGCCTTTCCTGGAGCTCCGGTGCCGCCGCCTCTTCTTCTTTGATCGAACTCTGTCGTCGCCGGAACCACCGGAACTCTCCTCGCTCTCCGTCTCCTCCTTCCGCTTGGATTTCTTGTGGCGACCGCGATGAGCGCCGTCATCGCCTCGCTCTTGCAACTCCTTCTCTTCCTCCGGAATGGATCCGTCTCGATCCTTCGCCATTTCTAGCTAGGGTTTCGATCGTTCGCAAGGGAAGATGACGAAGGTTGGCAGAAGGAAAGCTCGCCCGATACTAATGACAAGAGGAGAAATGGGATTGCGGTATATGGCAGTGCGGCGAATGAACGGTCTGATTGAAACGGTGGCACGGGGTATGGGGATCACCGACCAGTGGCTTGAAGCCTCTAATTGACGCGCACCATCGAGCCATTGGCGGTTCGGCGGTTCGGTTCGATCAAAGCTTCTAATCGATGCGTAGCACCGTGCCATTTGAGGTTCGAACAGCCGTCTGATTCGGATCGACTAAGTTGGAATTTTGACGCACAGCATCGTTGTGGGGAAAGATCTAATACAAGATAATATGGTTGAGAATACACCTCGAGCGAGGAGGTAGCGAGGGAGGGATTGAGCCGTTCCCTTCATCCCTGAGAGACGCCGTCGACACAAGCCGCCGACGATGCAGCTATTCCGTGGGGCCTGCAGTGGACGAAGCTCGCCTTACCGGCTGAGGAGTTCCCGCCGCTGCCGGAGGGGGTGGCCCGACAACATTTTCAACCTGGTGGCCGCCGTCGGGGACTCAGACGCTCCGTGCTCCTCATGCTCGAGCGTCGAGCCGTGGAAGGCAATCCCGTCCGCGAGATTTATCTGAACGAGATGGTGAAGCAGATGCGCGGCCGCCGCAGGTACGCTCACGCCCTCGAGGTTCGCCTGCCTACTCTCTCAACTTTCTTCCTTCGGTATTTGGTATTTCTACTCCTGTAGTAAAGCAAAAGCCTTCCACAATTGTGGAGTTGGCCTATTAGTCATGTTATTTGTTTCATCTGTTGACGACAGTAAGTTTATGATGCTTGACAAGTGTGTCGGCAGAGGCTTTCTTCCATTAAATATAGGAGACCAAAAATATGCTCAGCAGCTTTGCTTGCAATGTGTGGGTGGAAATTGGAACTGACATTGAAAAGCTTGCAACAGTGGCTGTTATCTTCCAAGAAATGAAGAAGCTTGCTCAGTCTATGTTGAGATGAAGCTGGGCTGTACCAAGTTTGGAATATGTATCAAGGAGAAGGTATATGCGCATGATATGTGGACTGATGTAGAGGGTCCGGAAGCTATCTTGAAGGAGTAGGAGACATGATTTAGAGTGTGCCGATTCTGCAATTTGCAGCATATTATACAAGAGGCCTTGTAGAGAACCAGAGTGTCAGTAATCAAGGTCATTGAGGGTGGAAGAACACCTCGTGCTATTGCAATGGGCACATCAGCTGCTTTGTATTCGGTGTGGTTAGCGATGAGGGCTGTGAATCATACCATGACGGTAGAACCTTGAGAACCTTAAAGATCAAAAGGATCAGTGGAATGAGCAGAAGAGATTGCAAGGTTGTTGAGACATCATGGTCTTCCGACTAGGGAAATCTATGACTGCTTGCTGACGATATTCGTGTTGGCCGGGAAACCACCAACAAAACATGGATTTGATGCAGATGAAGAAATATTTAAGATTCGGGAAGAGGGAAAGCCCGCCACAGAGGGGCTAAGAAAAAGAAAACACTGTTGAGCAGGTAGATTACGAAGATGATGAAACAATAGGCACAGAAGTAGATCATAACTCAGAAATAACATTGGTTTAATGTCCATACTGAGGCAAACATTTGCAGATTCTTATGGCGGATAACATCTGTTACCTTCAGCATGATAGTAACAGGCTGAAGAACCGTACACAGAGAAGTGTGCATGCTCAGAAAAAGATCAAGCACACAATGGCACAGCAGAGGAGGAATACCCAAATCTGATGGAGTGACCTCTCCAGCTCCATCTCCCGCCTCCTTCGCCTGCGGCTGCCCTCATTGCCACCCATGTGGTTAGGATTCGAGTAGTCAACGCTGGCCCACTCCTGATCCCGGACCATCCACGAGAGCACCGCCACCGCCAATCCCCCCAGCACGCCGCCCGCCATCGAGTGGCTCGGTTGCAGGTAACGGTGAGGCCGAATCTCCGGGTACCGCGCCTCGTTCGGCCCGATCGCGCCCCGGCGGGCCGGCCGCGGACGACGCGGTACCTCGACGCCCGGGTGGGGCTTCCTCCCGCAGCCGCGGTGGCCGCGGCCGTAGAGCGGCACCAGAGCGTCCAGGGAGAGGGCGGCCTTGCATACGGGGCACAGCTGGGGGGCGGCGCTCTCGGCCTGCTGCAGCCACCTGTATATGCACGGCCAGCAGTAGAGGTGGCCGCAGAGCGTGACGACCGGCTCCGCGGCGACATCGAGGCATATGTTGCACTCGAAGCACCCGTTGCCGGAGGCCAGCGCGCCAGCGTCCGGCTCGCACGTCTTCCCAGGCTCGTCCCCGCGACGGGATTCCCCTCGATGGCCGTCCATCTCGCTTGGGTTCGGTGCCGCTGCTTGTTGCGGTTGGCCGACGACAAGGAACGGTGACAGCCGCAGCAAGCAAAGTCATTCATAAAGACGAGCTTACGTGTGTAACTTTTAAGATAAGGCTGCCGTTGGTGATCTTTTGGCTCGCGAACGGCACGAACCTTAAAGAACAGGTGTGAGAAGAAGGCGGCGCGGATGGCAAGTAAACATCCGGCACACCATAACAACGAGAGAAACGATTGCTGAGGTTGCAGGGAAACAGATGTGTGTGTGCTTATTGTCTTCCCCACTATTTTGAGATAGAAGAAACCCATGAAGGTTGAGGAAAAATATGTATCATGCCTTTATGGTCTGCATATTATTAATTTTCTCTATTTTATTCTTCCATTTAAGATTGAGAAGGATTCAGATATGCCACCTAGCCATTAGAATATGCAGCATAAGATGAAGCTACAGCAACCATTACATGGAGGTCCCCAACAATAGTAAGGCACAGGAACAAGTTCTCTCGGAAATGGTTGAGATAAGGAAAGATACAGGAAGGTAAAGTAGGAATCGATAAGATGGAGCCAAGGCCATCGACCTTCTTTCTTAGTCTTCGTCTTCCCAAAGTCTTCGCTCGACTCCAACTCTGATGTGACCAGAGTGTTCTTTTTTTCTTGTTGAGAGAAATGTAACACAGTCGAAGCTTAATAGTCCACCGACTCTGGAGGATGAGAAGAGAGAAATGATAGGAACAGAGACAACAGTCTCAGTATCGTATACCATTTCTATGACTACTGTCCCAAAGCAAGCAACGTCAGCTCCGCATCACAGTTTGCCACACGTCACGTCAGAACAGGTACCCCCAAGACGTTATGCGATACATCTGATCCTGATAATTTCGAGACGACAACGCCTCGCACGTCGAGCCAGAATCCGTACTGATGTCGTGTTGTATTCATCACGTCAATCCACGTACGACCGACCCTCTCACGACAGTATAAAAATCTCTATCTCAACCTCCAAAAAGGAGAGAGACTATTGACTTGCTCGTCAGAGGGACCAAAGTCGGGGATCATTCGACGAAGGTCATTTCTGTAAAAAGGCAACCCACCTCGGGAGTCGTGAACTGATACCCCTGTGGTGAGTTATCGACCAACCCACCTCTCGACTCGATGATCTAGTCGGCTCTGACAACCAGCTCAACAGGTAGGAGACTCCTGACATCGACCCATGGACCAAGTCATGCTGACTCATAATCACGACACATTCGTTCCCCAATGATAGGTATTACATTAAACTGCATCATAGATTGGAATATTAAATCTATTGCTAAGGAATGAGAGTTCTTATTGAACTAAATCACAGTTAAAATAAGATAGTTCTAATTGAAACTGATTTAGATATACATAACAGAATCGATTCGAAATCGATTAATTTGGTTTGATTAATCAATTAATCAGTTTATAATTTTAAATAATTTAATATATATATATATATATATATATATATAACAATTCAATTCATTGAATCGAAACCTTTAGATTCAATTGGGCAATATGATAATATTTTTAAAATTAAATTTTTGGTTTTGATTAATCGATATGAATCGATTAAGGATTTAGGACAATAAACTCAATCGGATTAATATTTTCTAAATTAAAATTGATTCAATTTGATTTAAACCAAATAAGATTACTCACAATCAGAATCATTTATAACTTTCAAAATCAAATCATCTTTGAATTAATTCGAAACAAATCGATTTTGAACCAATTTGATTCAAATTTTATTTTGGTTCGATTTTTTGATTTGATTCGAACACCCCTTATGTAATCTTAATGGTCAAATAAATTAGACAAAACCAACTGTATAAAGAAATTTTCAACAAAAAAAATATTATTGCTAGAAAAGGTAAATTGATCCTTTATATTATTGGTAACAAACATACATGAAATGAGAACTAATAGCCCAAAGCCCTTTTCACTTTTCTTTAAATAAATAAGAAAGGCAGGAAATCTTATTCACAAAAACACATTTGTTTGATGTTGCTGTAAACACACAGATGGCACAAGCAGTAGTCAAGTCTATTGCACGTAACATTTCTTATTCTTCCAAATTCCAATTACTACTCTAAAAGGTCAAAGGCTAAGGCACTTTGCAAATCCTTTCACAACATCTACACAGCACTTGCTATAAGAAAAGCAAAGTGCAAACATTACCCGGACTCATCTTGATAGCCTGCAGAAACGCCGAGAAAGTGCCTGATCCCAGAGAACAAATGCATTTACCTCGCTACAAACTTCTCGATCGATATAATGAGGGTACTTTCTGGCACAGCCCCGATGACAGCATCTTTCTTCTCGCCATTTTTGAATATCATCATAGTTGGGATGCTTCGAATCCCATACTGCGTAGTTATATCGGGGTTTTCATCTGTGTTGAGCTTATAGCACCTGAGCTTTCCTTCGTAAACCTTTGCCAGTTTAATAATGGTTGGCTCAATCATCCGACAGGGCCCACACCATGGAGCCCAAAAATCTACGAGCACTGGAACATCAGAGTCCATCACGAGAGACTGCCATGTCGCCTTGGACACATCTGGAACTGTGATATGGTAGGCAGAACTGATTAACTAATGAGCCAAAAAAACAAAAAGATAATTTGACAAATAAATTAAATGTAGTTAAAGATGCACCAAAACCACTTAAATTAAGCTATCATAAACTACAAAAAAATTTTACCATTGTAAACAAGACAAGATGTTAACTCTGTAGCCAATTTGATATCACGACACAGAAAGCCCAGTGACATGATCATATGTTATCTTGGATTTTGGCTCAGGCCAAAAGTATAAGACCCGACCTGATTAATGGGACAGATGGATTGGACTTTTTCAAAATCAATTGGGTTGGGGTTGCTGAATCTCAACCCCAGTCTAACTTGGATTTTATTAGGGTTGACTTGGAATCCAACCTTGAGTCCAACCAGAACATGAGCTGAAGATAGTTTAACTTGACCCATCCCAATAAAACCAATGTGACAATACAAAGAATAACCAATATACGCAGAAAGATCACTTAGTATCATCCCCAGTAACAAGGGCATAAGGGCATGCGAGCAACATAGGTTCAAACATTCTTATGTTAAAACAACCAATAGGAATAAGACCATTAAACAGCACAATCAGCAAATATACAGAAAAAGAACAGGTGTGCAAAGAAGTTTTATGTTTAACCATAATGTTGAAAGATTTGGAAGAATATTTTGTATCATGTTTCCCCTCATCAAGCCAATTGGTTGATGCACATGAGAGGTCACTCATGGGAGTAGATTGTTACCCTCAGCACATTAGCCAAAATGTTGATTGGGCTACAAATCAACTAAGCTATTAGAAAAGTAAAACCCTCTAAATATAGGTTTAGTGTTAGCTATAGTAGAGGAAAAGTCTCTTGTTATATGGTTATTCTCTTTTGTGGGCAACACTTAGAACTGAACTAACTCGACTAGTCAACATGTGCAGGGTTTGGTACTGTTTTCAATCAGCTAAACTAACTTGGAATTGGATTCTCTAAAATACTATACATGTAGATATATAAATAAATATCCCCCATGACACAAACACACACAAAAAAGGAAAAAAAATGTTCAGGCTAGTAATCCAAAGGAAAATCATTTACCAGTTAAAAGAGTTGCATCGAGCAAAAAGATGCACCTAGAGAAATATCCTTATGAATTACTCAAAAGACAGAATGTTCTAAAACAAGTGCAGGAATATCAAATGAGAACAAAAACATACATACCAATCATGGAAGCAACAATGCTAATATATAACATTAAAACTCCAACTCAGGAAGGTTCCTTAATAGGTATGACACTATGCCATCTGTCAACAATTTTCAAGTAGTAGAAGCGACTCAAACAACAATCAGTAGCTGCATAAAGATGTTCCTCGATATATGGAGAACACAAAGTTTCCCATGTTGCTATTAATCAGGAAGGTATGCATGCCTTTCTTACTTTCTTTTATAAGCTCTAGAGAACAATTTAGGTAAAAGATGCTTTCAGAAGACGAAAAGTGATACAGAGAGGAAGGGAACGCCACAAACACCAAAACAAATCAGCTAATGGCTTTGATGACAAAGGATATTCAAGCTCAGAATACAATAAATTTGTCTTCTTTCTGTTGAGTGGATGGCTGCTTATCAGGACACACAACAAGGTTGAAAATTATTTCGTATCGTCCTTTAGTTTGAACCTTTGGTTACAAGAAGATAGTGCTGTTGATGGACCATGTAGATGGCTCAGCTAGCAACAGCTGACGGCTAAAAGAAGAAAAGATCATTTAGACAGCCGTCATTTAGAAATGCTACTTTGATGAAAAACAAGAAAATTTAAATAACTAAATTCACAAAACAATTTACCAAAAGGGATTTTTTTATAGCCTAGAAATTGACTTAAATTGTTCACAGAGGAATTGGATAATGTTGCAGCATAGACCAAGTTACCAGCATGAAGCCCATTAAATAAGCAAGCTTTGGTGAAAAACACTTTTTTCTTCATAATGCAGAACGGGGAGCATCGTATATATCCAATAACAAAGAAGAAAAGTTCTTCTAATAGTGTTAGTGTTTCCTAATCAGATAATCCAACGATCAATGCCAGGAAAATAAGGTTCCTTCTCTAAAAGTTGCTCACAACCAAGACTAATTAGCTCAAATTACCCATCTTTAATCGTTTCAGGCAACACATCACACAAGCAACATAAGACGCAAACGAAGAAGAAGAATCTAATAAATTGGATCTTAGAGAAGAAGAAAGAAAAGGCCGAAAGGACAGAAAGCATTACGCCCGGTGGTCGTCTCTGGGGCCTCACAAACCACGGCTCCTCGGCGGACCGCCCTCGAGCTCGTCGCGAACGAAACCCCCGGAAGGCGCGTGCATCTCCTAAGGCCCTCGAAAACCGGGAGAAGCCTCGTCGCGCGTCGGCTGAGGGAAGAGGAAGCCGGGGCCGGGGCCAGGGCCGCGGTCCTCGGCACCGGCAACGCCATCGACGCCGTCAGGCGGGGAACCGCCATCGATTCGACTCGGTGGTGGAGTAGGAGGTGGAGGAGAGGAACGGGAGTTGTTGAGATCCAATCGATTTTGTGTTAATTAGACAATGTTGTGAGAAGTTTGGGCCGCTATGAGGCCCAATCAATTAGTTGTGACATTTTGTGAGATGGAGATACCGGGGAACACAAGACGGGTTCTTGGGGTTCGTGGTGGCAGGCACGGCGGTCTTCAAGGAGCTATCGTGGGACGTGCTGTAGCCGATCATGGCCGGCTATGCCTTTCCATCGTTGAGCTTTAAATTAAACAACAGCATTCTTAGAAAATAGCATTGTGCATCCAATTTATATGGTAACAAGAACCACATCATGCACATACGAAACAAATACTGTCATCACTTCAAGACATGGATAAAAGACCCAGTTGGAAAGGTTTACCTTGGATAACCTTATTACAAGAGCACTGCATAACTCATATCCCGCAGGTTGTTGCCATGTGTTTTTGATGATATTAATATGATAATGAACCCAGGTTGTGCAAATGCCAAATGTGCAGGGTTCTACTCTTTGGTGCTTTCACCAGCACCGGCACCTGCTTCCTTCAACTCTGATGAATCATTCTCCTTCGGTTCTGCTTCATCACCATGACCAAACCGACCATCCTGCTTCGACTCTTCATCATGGTCTCGATTTGCATGGGTTTCCACTGGATCATCTTCCTTTATTTCTGTACTATGTTCTGCTTGTCTGTCTGTACCATCCGTGATCTCGGTGCTTTTCTCCGTTACTTGAGAGGTAGTGCCGTCATCGGTCCCGTCCGTCGTGGGCGCTGTCTCGTCCGTCTTCTTGATTGTTCCAACTTTGACGTATTTGCTCATGAATTTGTATTCCCAGTCTTGCAACGCATCGAGCTCAAAGGGGCCGAGGCCAGAGATATCACCAGTCAAATCTACTGGTTCAAACGACATCTTTGCCAATGCTCTACTCGCATCTTTCCCAGCAAATAGTGCGTATGGCCCACCGGGTCCATAGAACATCCTAAGACAACATAAAAATAAGGAAAACTTTTAGATGCAAAAGATGTTTGTTGATACACGATAGGTAGCAAAGCAGGCTATATAGGCCGAGTTTAAATGGATGAAAAGAAAAGGCTTATTTGTCAGTAGCAAAACATGTAATCAACAATATTAGAAATAGGCTTTCACCACTCATGTCGCAAGGTAAAAGTAAAACCATTAAAGTCTTTGGAATATGCAGGCCATTTGATATGAGATGTTGAATACTAAATATCATAGCTTCTCTTGAAACCATTACATAGAGAAAGTGTCTTGCTTTGTCCAATGAAATGGGGTGAATTAAGCGTTGCACAATGTCATTGTACTAGACCGTGGTATTAGTCCAACTTCATTCGATACGGATCTATTTGTTTCGATGTCTTCGAATTATTCACATTAAATATGAATAAATAACTGTCCAAATCAGAAACTCCTTATTTGCTTCCCAAACATATTCACACAATTCTTTTCATATTTTCCAACAAGAAATGGTCAAACAATACATAAAATCAGTTGAATCATCATCTTCATGAACATCAAACGAACAAATTACAACAATATAATGTCCAACAATTCGGAGTTGGCTACATGAACCTTGCCCCTCCATTTAGTTATATGTAGGGAAAAAGTAATGATCAAAGTAAAGCAGATCAATTTTTTGGTGTTTTTGATAAAGCCGACCTAGATCGTTCTAAATCTCTCCTTACGCCATTAATCCTAATCTACTCAACTAATCTAACCAAGTTAAATATAGGTATTTATAGGTTTCCTTTTGACATTCATACCATCCTAAAAAAATTTCCGCATTGTCTTCCATCAATCTTATACCAGAGTGTTTATAGATGCAAAGAATTCTTATTCTCACTTCACTGGTAGTTTTGAAAAAACCAACAGAAGAAACTTCTGATGGCTTAATCTCATAATAAATCTATATATGAGCCATGACTACAAGACACGTAAAGAACAAAAAAAAGGGTACCCAATTAAAAAATAAACAAAATACAAAAAAGGGAGAAGAACTAAACCAAGCTATTAGATGGAAACACAATCAAAATAAAGCATCATATGGAGATTGCATGTTGATCATAAACTACACCACAACTATGTACTGAAGAAGGATGCAAAATTTTCTATATTAGATGAGCCAAATGTATATAAGATTCCAAACTTCTTATCATTTCTTTTCGAGAAAACCATATATATTATGCTACAACAGAGGTGATTGATAACAGACCAAAAATATGTCTAAAATTTAACGACTGATAAAAACTTATTTGAATCAGGTTTAAGTAGTTGGAATTTGGTACTAACATGTTAGACATCATTGATCAAAATGAAAACCAAGCATGGTGCAGAACTGCTACCAGCTCAAATCTTCAAATAGCATCCTCAAATTTTAGAAAAGTAATCTACCTTTTCTAATCGTCCTGCTGAAATCAATCACTCGGCAACAAAATAAATGAACTTGTTGCATCCTCATGGTTTAAGTAGTTGGAATTTGGTACTAACATGTTAGACATCATTGATCAAAATGAAAACCAAGCATGGAGCAGAACTACTACCAGCTCAAATCTACAAATAGCATCCTCAAATTTTAGAAAAGTAATCTAGTTTTTCTAATGGGCCTGCTGAAATCAATCACTCGGCAACAAATAAATGAACTTATTGCATCCACTTTGACAACAGGACAAATCCACATAAAAAAGACAACAAGTCCTACCACTCTATGATTAGTTGTTTTTTTATTGTTGTCAATTCTGAAATTTGGTTCCATATTAGGGCGAGACCTAAGAACAACTATCGTATAGTGTAACTTCAATATCAATAGCATAGACTTCATATGAATGCCGAATAAGAAAACAAGTCCGATGAAATGTTATCCAACCAAGACGTATCACAGACGATTAAAATTTTGTATTACAGCAAACTGTAAAATCAAAAGAAAAGGAGGAAGGAGGAGGAGAAAGAGGCATAAGAGATTTCAGGACGCGATGATCACTCCACAAAATGTGTTCACTGAGGCATCAGACGGCAGGAAATGTGTTCCAAAAGGAAACGGTGAAACAGGAAAAGGTGAGATCAATGCATCCATCAAACAAACAAAAAGGGGGTCGAGAACTGCATCCATCCCGGACATATCTTGAAACCCTAAGAGAACTGTGAAGAAATGGAAACTAATGATGCACTTGAACAAATAGAGAACAAAGAGGGAGACGCAGCGAACCTGCTCTGGGTGACGTCATAGATCTGACCCTTAATCGCCATGAGGAGCGGCTTCTTCGGATCGGAGCCGTCGTAGGCCCGAAGCTCCTCCTCAGTGACCTCCCCGAGCTGGACGGGCGGCGCAAGGGGTTCAACCTCCCGAGACCGCGGCGGCGGGGGCGGTGGCGGCGCCAGAAACCCAGCCACCGTGTGGTAGAGCGCCACAGCCACCGCCAGCAGCGTAAAGAACGTCGCCGGCGACAACCCAGTGTAAGCCTCGATCGCCCTCTTAGCCACCTCCCAAGCCTCCGCCATTGCCATCTCACTCTCTCTCTCTCTCTCTCTCTCTCGT